TCAATTAATTCTCATCTTGGAAAAGAACAATCAAGACGTGATGATCTTGAAGCACTTGGTTATGTTCTTGTCTATCTTTATGAAGGACGTTAGTATCATACATTCTTATTAGAGATCGAAATGAATAAGAAAATCTCGATTCGATTACCTATTATCATAAGTGGAATGTATCTACACGTCTCGCATAAAATTTCACGCAGGTTTTTGTGTGCCTGTATGCTAAATTATTGCTGCAGAGAAATTTGGAAGGTTGTACAAATTAAGACTTGGGTATTATAAAAAGAAATGTTTTTTTTTTCTTATCGATGAAGGTAGTAGCTTCTGATTTTGTACAATTAACACTGATATAGCTTTCTTCTTTGAGGAAGATGTACATATTAGGACAAAGGAGTTTACTAACTTCTACAGACTTTAAATTAGAAAATCTCGACATTTGGTTTTCAATCAAGTTTTCCAAAGACAGTTGTCATCATCAGAGCTATTTTCTTTTCTATCTAGATTTTTAAAAGAATGAATTGATAGGAAAAATTCTCTTCGTTCGAGATTTATAAGACTTTTTCTGAGACTCGAATTTCAGCCAATTGATAGCAGCAAGGAAGAGATATCGAATGGTGATACCTGTTTTTTTTTGGTTTGAACTGATCTGACAATGTTATCTCAATATTTCTAAAATTTCACAATCAGTCTCCATGTAACGAAGGAGTCAACATTTCGGAAATATTCACATAACAGTCTTAAATCATTTCGAACCTAAAACGAGTAATAAACCATGAAATCTATATTTATTTATAACTACACTGTTGATCAAACAATCAAAGCAGTAACCATCCGCCATACCAATCAGTGTCCGACACGGGTCGGGTCAGACCTCGGGTCGGGTCATGAAAAAAATGTTTGAGCTCGGGTCGGGTCGGGTCGCAAAAGTTTTACGAATTCCGAACTTCACATAAGAAAAGCAGCAATTTTAGATGAGATAATCATTTCTTTATTTCGAATACCTATAGAATGTGTATCGATTTACTGAGAAGATTGTCAATGTCTGAAAAAAACTCACTTTTATTGGCCAAAAACTATCCCTCACCTCGGGTCGGGTTACGAAAAAAATTTTTGAGCTCGGGTCGGGTCAGATCATGCTCGGGTCACAAAAAAAGTGACCCGTGTCGGACACTGATACCAATAATAGTATGGAAAAAGAAGTAGTCACGAAAATAACTATACATGTATATGTCTTCTCAGCTCGATCTCTGATATTTCTATTCACCTAAAGAAAAAAAAGAAGATCATTTTTCTATTATTCATATTAAGGTTTACCATGGCAAGGTCTTAAAGCAGCAGCTAAATCGGCTAAATATGAAAAGATATGCGAACGAAAACTTCATACATCACTTGAATCACTTTGTATAAATATGCCAAATGAATTTTCAACTTATTTAAAATATTGTCGTAATCTTGAATTTACTGATGAACCTAATTATCATTATTTATTAGAATTATTTGATGATCTTTTTATACGACATACTTTTGTACGTGATTATGTTTATGATTGGAATCTTATTCGATTTCGACGTGGATCAACAAATAATCGAATATCACCTATACTTAAAAATGATGTTATAGAACGACCAATAATTTTAACTAATAAACGATCAAAATCTCTTACACCTGTTGTTGCTGCTACTACTACTACTACTACTCGACATTTAAATCAACCTCAACAGTTCATTGGAGATAAAGCTTTTTGTTCTTAAATTGATACAAACCATGTGAAAAATTCATTATGGTTGTCTACCTAATGATTGAATATAGGATATTTTGTTGAGATTTTTTTTTTTTGAATAATAAATTCTAAAAGCAAATACATGTTTTACGAACTTATTGAACGAATGAGGCATGATAATAATATATTAAAAGTTTATTTCATTGAATAAGACAACAGCGGATGTTGTATATAAAGATAGAAAAGGTTAATTGTAGTGTCTGGCACCAGATGTGCATATTCTTGTTCGTTTTTTTTTCTCTTTTCTTCAGTAGGTTCATTTTCCATAGTCAATTGCACATTACTCATTTTTTTTATTATTCTCTTACTTATTCATTTTATTGTATCTACAACTGTTGATGCATTTTCAGGTTTATTAAAACGATTTATGTATATGATGATTGTCATTGCCGTCATCACAAGTCCTTGTTTGACTGATTCAAAATGAAAGAAAAAATCAGAGAACATACAAGTTAATTGTTAATAGATACGCATAATTAAAAATGAATGATCAGCTGTCGACCGTCATCGAGACAGATCATTTCTCTTTTCCCTATAAAAAAAAAAAAAATGTTCTAACTTGCATTCTTTTTTTTCTTGTATCGACATTATTTACAGTAAGTTTTAGATGCAAATATTAGACTGACATATATCAATAATGTAAGAATACATTTCATTTCGAATTAATTGAATAAAAAATGACATAAGAAATTAAATAATAAGATTAGTAGGAATATTATACGTTCACCAGTTACCTATTTAACAACGAGCTTTTGTTGTCAAGATAAATTCAAAAGCTCGTCACTAATAGGTCTCACGTGAATGATTATCATAAATAAACAATTATTCTTATTACAAGCTATTTGTATATCATTATGAATTTATTATGTACAAGTTAATTAGATTACTCACATAGAAAACGGGCATCTTTTAATGAATTTTGGCGTAGATGACACTTATAACTGTATTTTTTACAAGTATTAATTTATTTCAAAATTAAGCTTTGTCCTCTTCGCTTTAAATATTCGATTCGGAGGATGCTGAATCAAATAAATTATCGATTTATGAAATAACGTCTATTAATAACAGTATTTATATCGTATTTCACAGGATTCACGCCAACAACTTTTTTATCTCCTACTTCAATGACGATAAATAAACACAACGATTTTTAGATTGATTCAAACAAAAAAACACAAACAATTCATTTTTAATTTATTTACTATTAGGTTCTTTATATGGGCTAACGAGGGAACCTCTTCAGATGTTCTCTTCCGATTTCAATCCCATAAAAAGAAATCCAATAGTATTAAGTCTATTGTTCGTCCAGTTGATAAGATCACTCCATCTATTCTAAATCCATTGATCATCAAACTGATCGGTTAGACAGTCAGATAGAAGAAGCTTTGAAGTATATCAAGGTTATTTTGCTAATCAATCGTTTCATCAAAAAAGGTCAGTTGCTGGATCATCAGAAAAATAGAGCATAATTTTGAGTCTAAATGCAGCAGCTGTATTTATTGATTTACTGCAGATGGTGAATATTTGAATAACATCCAAAAAAAAAGAAAAAAAGTGAAGCAATTAAAAAATAATCGTAGCATAATGTCTTTTTATATCTTAGTTAGAGATGATATCTTTAAGTTAAATCAAACAGTAAAGATATACGAAAATACAAATTTTTCTGAAATTGAAATTCATTTTTAGAATTTTAATTGGAACACTATGTAATATCTATAGACAAAAAGTATTTTTTTAGGATATATTGAATATATAATTACAAACAATATAAAACAAAAATTCTGTTTATAACTATTGACATTTTGAATAGTAGACAATACTTGAATAGAAACCATACGATAATGTATTTTATTTAAAAGAATAAAATAGAAGCCAATTTCTATACTCATTTAATGCTAGAACATACAAATTAATGGCATTGTACGTTTTTTTTTCTTACCACTTCTCGTCTTTCTTTTTCTTCGTTTTTTTTTTTTTATATTTCTTACTGTTTATTGTTATAAAAGAAAATAAATTCAAATAGTAACCAACATTTATTTAATAGTTCTGTTCATTGTCAAGTAACAATAAAAATGAAATTGGAGAATGTGGATATAACTAAATTACAACTTGGTGATTTACCAAAATTTAATAAATGTCCTTGTGAATTATGTGATGATGGTTGTTTTGATAGAGCTGGTAATAAACATTATCCTGAATGTCAACGACAAGTACCACAACAATCTAAATTATCTCTTGCAGCTCGTTGTCCACTTTCACATTATAAAGGTTCATTTTTAGCTGCTACATTACCATCTGGTGGTACAACTCAACATCGTCGTCATCCATGTCCTCCTCCACGTGATAATGAAATACCAATATCATTTAAAAATGTACCTATGTCTGGTCTTAGTTCACAAAGAGATGATTATCAACCACCACCAGCAAATATTACAAAAGAAAAAATGGTTGTGCCTGTTAAACAAGTATTATTTTTCAAAAAAGAAAATTTAATAGAATATCATTGTTTTATTTCTGCTTTTTTTGTTTGTCCTAGCCGGATCATATATTAATATCACGTACAGTTCCAATGGAAACTAAAACTCAATATCAAGTTGAATATATTGAAAAACCTGTTATACCAGTAACACGTCGTCCATTACATGATCCAATTAAAGATTCTCAGTAAAAATTCTTTTTCTTATTTCAATAAATTCATTATTATTTGTTCTAGATTATATATCACTGAACCAACTGCATCAATTGCATCTCAAACAACAACTCGTGCTCATTTTAAATCATGGCATTCAGCACCATCACAACCATATACTGAAATACCATCTGTAGCTGGTAAGAATATAATAAAAAATATCTTTATTGTAAATAAATTTTTTTTTTTTTTTTCTTTTCAGGTCATGTTCTTTTTCCTAGTACAAATCGTAATTTTAATACAACAACTGGAAGTAGTTTTTTATCATATCCAAATGTATCACAAACAAAACCAATTGTTCGACTTGAACATAGTGGAAATCTGAAATTATCTGGTAAATGAATTTCGTTTCGTTTCTTTTTATTCTTATCAAAAATAAAAAATAGGTCCAATGGATTTACTTACAAATTATCGACGTGATTATATTACTCCTGAAATATCATTAATAAAAAATAATCAAAATGAAACAAAAAATTTAGTACATGAAGAAAAAGTTTATACACGTCGTCCAATGAATGGAATTTCACAAACAAGTTTTGATTTTCGTCCTTATTCAAAACATCGACCACCACCATTAGCTGAAACAGAACCATTTCTATCTCAAATTACTATAGGAAATTCATTTACACCTATAGAAAAGTTAATTTTTATTTAATTCAAAAAGAAATAAAAATAAAAAAACAAAACTACTTTCTTTGTTCTAGAGCAAGTCAATATCGAACGGATTATCCAGGTCATAATGCAAGTGAACATCCTCGACAACCACTTGCAGCACCTAAAGATTATCAACAACCTTATGTAACTCCAATGCAAAAAATGGATACTTTAACAGTGACACAAGTAATTTTTATTTAAATAATTTCCAAAAAAAAAAGAATAACTATCTATTTTATTTTATTAGAGAGATTTTCAACCTATTGATATAAATGCTTTACCACGTATTCGACTTGTACCATTAAAATCATCATTATCCGTAAAAGATCAAGCAGGTCCAATGGAAAATATGACTATGACTCGATATCATTATCAACCTTATGAACCTATAATATCTACACAACGATATGGTGAATTAATGCCTAATGTTTATATTCGACCAATTGATAAATTTCAAGGAATAACAACAACTAATGAAACATATCAAGGAAGATCAGGTATGATATAATATAATTGATAAAATGAATTATATAAAATTATTCAATATAGGTCCACCAGCACGTCCTTGTATTCCTGAAGGAGAAAAAATTAAACAAGGTGGTACACATGATCATAATACAAATTATCGACTTGATTATCATCCACATGGTGTTAGTTTATGTGCTGCTAAAGCTTATACAATTGCTCAAAATAAGGAAGCAACTCAAAGGCCTATATCTACTAAATGAAAAACAAAGAAAAAATTATTTAAATCTTAACAATAAAAATTATATTATAACTTTTCAGAGTGTTTTATAAATAGAAGAAAAAAAAAAGAAATGCAAATGAAAGAATTGTTATTTATTTTGACTGAGAAATCTTCAACTTATTTTTTTCAAGTCTTAATTATTAAATAATTTTCTTGTTCGAAGTCCAATAACTTCAATTTGTTTTTATCAGAAACAAAAGCAAAAATATTTCTTAATGTTATCAGATATTTGTCAATTCCATTTTATTATAAATAATGAATTAAAATTTTTGCATTAATTTAAAACTTCAATTGCCGAGCAGCTCTTAGCTTTTTTCAGGACTGAGGAAGATATATTGCTTGTCGTAAAGCGACTAAGGTTTGATAGATATTTTAATTTATTCTATTCGATATTACAATGCATGAAATTCAAAAAACAAAGGGTTAACAATACTTTTAACTCAGTAGTAGATCTAGCATTTTGGAAGGTAAGGGAACGATTTTAGGCCGAGCTCATCCAAGGTAATTCGTTGTTACTTGGAAAAATTTCTTGAAATTGACTTTGCTTCTCACTCCTATGGTTCTGCAATGAATTGTCTGGTCGTCACCCGCGTAATTATCATATTATTTTTCAAATCTTACAATGAAATCTATGATTATATTCCGACAATATTCTTGATCTTCTTTTATTAAAAATTATGATGAAAACAGACATATTCTCAACATCCGAACAACACATAGATACATTCTATTAATCCTAGACACTTATATGTTTTGTTCTATTTGTGACTATAAGATATGATATCGATCTTAATTATTGTTTGGTAATGATAAATAAAGTTGAAGAGTTGGTAAACCAATGGATGCTGTAAATAAAAATCTTGATAATAAATGTATCCAT